ACAAGAAATATTTCAGTTCACAAGGTCTCTAATTCCTAAACCACCTTCTTTCTTAGGGAGTGCTAAATATTTCCAGGCAGCAGTGGCCGTTTTCTTTCCCCCCTCACCTACCCCCCAAATAAAGTCACTGCAAAGTCTTTCAATTTCCTTTATAATCCTTTTGGGCAGAATGAACACTGCCATCCAGAACTGTGTTAAACTTGCAAGCACTAAAATCACCAACTGCAATCTCCTTTTTTTTTTTTTGAGAAAAACTGCAATCTCCCTACATAGCTAAGAAAACTTTGTTTTCCAATTATGAATCCTTCCTGTTATTTTAACCAACAGAGGTTTACATGCCTTAATTGAAAGTTTACCTGGGATTAGAGGCAACCCCAGATATCTGATTGGAAGAGTTCCCAACTTATACCCTGCCCTTTGAGCCATTTGTTTCTGCCATTCTATAGGAATTCCACCACAAAACAATTCACATTTTTCAGGATTAGACTTAAGACCAGAGATCCTCCTAAACTCCCTCAAAACCTTCTGAATAGACTGAATACCATGATTTGAACCATCTGAGAACAGAAGCAAATCATCTACAAACATTAAATCGGTCAAACCCAATCTCTTGCACATAGGATGGAAAGGCATTTCCCCTTCTCTAACTGCCTTGGCCATTAAACAAGATTGGATTTCCATAAAAATGGCAAACAGATAAGGGGACAATGGATCCCCTTGTCTTAAACCTTTTTTTTTTTTTGCTGAGAAATACCCCACAATCCCTCCATTGAAACCCACACTCAATTTAGGAGTAGTTATACACATTACAATCCACCTCACAAAAATCTCAGGGAAATTCATTGCTTTTAACACAATGATTAGAAAATCCCAATCCACTGAGTCAAAAGCCTTCATAATATCAACCTTGACAATACTTCTTTGAGATATATCACTCCTATTGTACTTCTGAACTAACTCATGAGCTAGTAAAATATTCTCACCAATCACTCTCCCTTTAATAAAAGCAGTCTGGTTATGACTTATTAGAGAAGGCAACACTGAGCTAAGCCTAGCAGCAAGAATCTTTGCAACACACTTATAAAGTGTGTTACAACAGGAAATTGGCCTAAATAACTTCATCTCCTCTGGGTTATGAACCTTAGGTATTAGTGCTAATAGAGTAGAATTAATACCTGGAGGAAGAGAACAATTAAGAAGACAATGTTGCACAGCAGCAGTAATTTCAAGACCTACAATGTGCCATGCTGATTGGAAAAAACAAGCAGGGAACACTCGAATGGTTTCATATTTCGAAAGTTTGAATCAATTTTGGCCATATGACTCTCCTATCACCAACCCGTTACTTATGCCCTATGATATTTCTCCTATCCCTGCATTTATTGAATTTTCTGCTTTTTGGATCCACCAATCAGTTTTTTGGCTTTCTTTCTTGCTTTGAAGGCTCCACTGGATTATTTTTTGGTTTTGTGTATGTAGTTTATTCAAACGGTAGTGTTGGCTTTGCTGAAGAAGGGTGATCCAGAGTGGAAGAAGAAGGTTGGTTTGGGATCGGTAGGGGGTCTCCAATCAGTACAAATTCGGATGCCCATAGTGGGGGAGCTATCCGACCTACTTCATTGTTAGGAACGATGGTTCTATGGTGCCTTTCTGCTTCTGGACATACATCGACAACCTCATTCCTTTGCCAAAGCACTATAAAAACCGATGTGCTCCTGCTGGTGCTGGTACTGGTGCGGGTCTTAAAAGTCTCTACAGCGGAGCTAAAGGTGTCAGCTAGTGGCTGAAGCCATTGCAGTCGAGCTAAAGATGTCGCTAGTGGCTGAAGTCATTGCAGCCGTACTTTGATTTGACGGGTTGGGTTTCTCTATTTGTTACCTGGTGCCGTAGTTTGGCTTATATGTATGTTTTGCAAGCTTTTCTTCTGCGTTGATTTGTTTTAGTAGAAGTTTTTGTTGGTATGAAGATTTGATATTTTATACCAGGATGTTGTTGGTTTGGTATTAGTTTGTAGCTGTTTGAATGTGGTGTGGAAATAGAGAAAAAGAAGGCCCTTCTTTGGTAGTCAAATATTCTGGGTAATGATTTCCTTCGTTTCTCTTGTCCGCAAACACTTTTCCAAAATGACTGTTGTGTCGGACGAGCTTTACCTTTATGTAAATGCATGTATTATTATAAATTCATTTGATGTATTGTAAAATACAATGTTTGGTATGTGTGATTGTATATGTTATATCAGCTAAAAGTTGAGATAAAACAATCTTAACTCAACAATACCAACAATCACAGCTAAAAGGTGAGATATAACAATCACTCATTTTGAGTAATAGTTTTTGTCAGATCACATAAACAATCTATGTATTGTTTCTGCTAAAAAAATCAAAAAATGATGCATTCTAAATAATACATGTATAGTACCAGACACGCTCCTCTGTCCTGGAGGACTTGGACTCTAGTTCATCTTTTTGCAGAGTGAGCATATACAAGGCACGCTCTGTCATTGATGTTGCAAGAAGAGGCCCCTATAGCGTTGAGTGCTTGGCAGTTGGTCTTACAGTGCTGTGTATCACGATGGAATGGTGAGTCAGCTACAATAGCCTTGAATCAGTTGTCTTAGTGCGTGGTGATAAGTCTGATATGGCGGGAGCTTTGATCCAGGATGTATGGATCTAGAAGTGTGAGACTTCGTTTGTTCTTGACGGGCTCCATAGCGGTTTGCTATTGGATGCTTGTTCTTAATACAATTTTTATGTAACCATAAAAAATACAAGTATAGTACCAATCTCAACAAAACAATGGCAACCTCCAAATGACTCACTAGTTTGTTTCATGGACTAGCATAGAAGGGCGTAGAGGCTTTACCTAGTGTCTAGTTCGCTTAGCCATTTAGACGCTAGGCAGTTCCTAAACATGCATAGACATTTGAAGCAAAATTAGCAATTTATAAAATATATAATAAATGCAATAAAAATTTACAACACTCCCATTTAAGTTAGAATGATAGTAACTTACTTAACAAGAAAATAGCTCACAAGTTCATATAATTATAGATCAATATCTCATAAATTTCTTGAGTTATTGAAATGATTGATATAGATGTAAGTTTGTTAGATGATGTTGATTTTTCCCTTTGATATTTGCTACCTAGCTCAATCTAATTATGCCTAGGCGGCACCTTGGTGTCTCTTTAGCTCAATAGCATAGACATTTTAACCAACATAAGAGTTCATCCTTTTTACAATTGTGCATTTTTGTATATTTTTTCATACATACATACGTGTGTGTTCTTTTTATTAAATTGCTATCATTGAATAACAAATACTTTAACATAGATATCAATCACCATTCTACCTTGAAATTTGATTAAAGAAGAAAACAAAATTAAGTGATCCAACAATAATTACTCAACTCATAAACCCCACCAAATTACATGGAAGCTTAAATAATGTTATGGATTGTTGTCGAGTTACTGTGCGCTAGTCCAACTTTCCATTATGCTCCTTCTAAAGCCCTTCCTTCTAATTATTTTCATCTGAACCTAAGTCACTATTACAACTAACGCGTCGTTTGCTTCGTAGATTTGAAAAATGAAGTTTTGGTAAAACTTGGGTTTTGTAAAACCATGGATATATTAGGGTTTTGGGTTAATTATGGACTTGCAAAATACCATTGTTTGTTTCATAGATTTCATGATGAAATTGGTTAATTAGATTTGAATGTATGAAGTAAAATTTACCTTTATTTCCCTCATTAGTATGAGAAGAGAAATGAAATAGGAGGGGTAGTTTGGTTTTAAATGATGGACTTCAAAGTCCATGATCAATTCCCACCTAAAGAGGTGGAACTTTCAAGTCCGTGGGGTCGACGAATTTGAACCCTTAAAGTTCGTGGAACCCACGGATTTGTTACCAATAAATACATGAAGCAAACAATAGATTTTGGACAAAATCCATGATGATTCCAAATCCATCATCAAATTCGTCAAGCAAACAACTACGAGGATCTTGTAGAGCTACAAAAAACCAATTATTTTTGCCACATAACTACGAGGATGGATGTAATCGCTTAATTGTTTAACCGTCGGTTACTAACCGTTTAACCTACGATTAGTAATTAGCTAAATTTGTCTACCGAGAACCATCCGCTTACTAATCGATTATCGATGTAATTGTTAATCATCGATTCCGATTCAGTTATCGGTTATACCGTTAACATGATAATCGTTTATCAGTGCTAGATTCAAGTGGATAGACCAGTGTTTTTGGTATCTCTACTAAAAGATGATGTTGGTATGTTAAATTTAGTTTCTTAATAAAATGAAGTAGGTGTTTATAAATAAATGACTTAATACCCTAGTTTGGCCCGAAGTTTGGCGTAAGTGTCAGTTTTGGCCCGAAGTTTTCAATAAGACATTTATGGCCAATTTTTCAAATTAATAGACAAATTTGGCTTGCACAGCTCATCCTTGTCACATTTTTTCTTAAATTAAAGAAAATTTGAATTCAAATAAAAAATAAAAATAAAAAGATAGAAGGGAGGGATCACGAGGACCACTGTCTCCTCCCCTTCCCCATCGTTCACACCTCCATCGAACTCTCCTACCCATCCATTCCCGACCGAGCGAGTCCGACGATTCTTCCGTCGCCCGCCTGCCTTCCGTACTGCCTCCGCCACCTGTCTTCTTCGTCAACCTCACCGCCCGTCACCTACGCCATCCCTCGCCTCGATGCGGCCATCTCCGCCAGCCCTCGCATCGCCGCCTTGTGTCCCTCGTCGCCCTTGCAAGATAATCAGCCTCTGATTTTCGATTCATCAACAACTAGAGCAGAACTAGAACCGGTGAGTTCGGTCTCCCTTGAATCGGCGTTGGGTTTCCAACTTTTGACTCCCTTGGAGAAGAAAAGGCGACGTGAACTGGAATGTAAGATTCAGTTATAAAAGTGATAAAAGTGAAGAAAAGGCAGAGGAGAGGTGGCTTCCTTATAGATCGAAGTCCATATCTAAAACAAAAGGTCGAGCTCGGTGGCGGCGCGAACTCTCGAAGTAGGCAAATCAGATGGGAAAGTTGTGGCGGCGGAGTCTATGCTCGTGGAATCGATTAGTGAATTGGAGAAAATGGGCGAGCAGGGAAGAAGAAGAGACGTTCGCCGGCGGCGGCTCGAAGAACGGAGGGCGATTGGAGGGACAGACGATTCCATTCGAGGCGAAGGGATTTTGAGATGGCGTCCATTCCACCATGATCCATTACCCACCGCCCGCCGCCGCCACATAGGACTCCAAACAAGTACTCGCCCCACCACCACAACATCTTCCATTGTCGATTGAGGACGTTGTGGTGTGTTCTCCGGTGACCTTGACGCAGCAGATAGAGGCGGCAGAGTCGACGGAGGAGGGAGACGGTGGGTCGTGAATTTTTGTCGAGGGGAAGGGGGGGGGGGAAAGGGTTTGAAAGGATTTATTCATTTCAAATTTTATATTTTCTAGTTTTTTTAGGATTTTTTTATTCTAAATAAATGATGTGGCAGCCACGTCAGAGCCAGTTCAACATTTTTTTATGGTGAGTCATAAACATAATAAGTTTTGACCGTCAATTTTAACGGTCAAAATAAATTTTAGGCCAAATTTATCCAATATTTTGAAAAGTTGGGGTAAATATCGTCGCTACCGTCAAACTTCGAGTCAAAATGGGGTATTTTTTTTTTGTCATAGAAACCCTTGCGGATTAACTAGGTAAGCACGAGACAGCCACAATACACCGGCTTCTTCGTGAAATGATAGTCAAAGTAAATAAGAACAATTAAAACGAACACTACAAGAGCCAGAGTAGCATAAGGCATTACGTGCCACAAAATGGGCAGCCCGATTTGCTTCTCTAGGAGTAAAAGCAACAGAAACCAAAGGGAATTCTTGCAACATAAAGATGACTTCCCGTAAGATAGCCCCCACAAGGGCATCATTGGCATCAGAAGCCTTTAAATGTTGTACAACTGCAAGAGCATCACTTGTAATCACAATCGGTCGATCCTGCCACTGCCATTGTCGAAGTAGTAACATAGCTTCTCTAATTGCCAACACCTCCATGATCTTAGGATTAAAAAGGCTTGGAAAGAAACCACCCATTGCAAAAACTGGCACATTCTGATCCAAGCCCACCACGCCAATTGCGCCATGAGTCGGAGCACTTGTCGTCAAAATGGGGTATTAAGCCTAAATAAATAAGAGATGGTTTCTTCCTCTCCCATCTAACGGCCCGTAGTCCCACAAGGTGTTTCAAAAGGCAGATCCATGCCGTCCCTGCCAAGTCACGGTGGTCAGCTTCTCGGGCAGCAGATCGCGAGTTGGAAAATTGAATACACGGTTCCGATCCTGCCAATCGTCTTTCCGGGCAGATCTCTTTGCCTTTAAGAACGAGGCTGCCCTTCCTATCTTCTTCGCTCATCAGGGAAAAAAAATCCCCAATTCCCATCTTCTCCCTCCTTTAACCATTTCACCCCGAAACCCTAACACGCGACGGTCCGGCTGGTTCCTTCTCTCTCTGTCGGTGGTTCTGTCCTCGTGCCCTCTCACCCGACTTCTTTTGTCCGGCGCGTCGCGTTTCAAGCCTAGTAGACGCGTGGCGTTCACGCTCTATGTGATTCATGTGTTCTTGGTCATCTGAGTCGGGAAACCTCCGTTGCCGGGGCTGTCCCCGGACTCTACCGGACTCATGGCTTCAGCCGTTCTAGCTAATCGGAGCGAACCGAACTGGATGCAGCCAAAGCCGGCCGGCGGTCCGAAGCTAATGGGAAAATACCCCTTCTCTAACTCTAACCCTAAATTCTCCAAGAAGCGGCACATTCAGGCGTTCCCTTCGGAGGATCTCGATGAATCTCCGGCGTTCACGCAGTCTGCTGCGTCTGATGACGCGTCTTCGATAAATCGGAGACCGAATGATTTAAACACCGGGGGGTTCGTTACTTTCAACATCTCTTCCTACACGAGGAAGGAGCTGCTGGAGCTGAAGGATCGATTTATGGCTGAGCTGGAGCAGATTCGTCAATTGAAGAGCCGCATCGACGCGCCTCCTGATTTTCAGATCAGATCCAGCTCAAATTTTCACCACAAGAAATTAATTGGTGGTACAAACGGCAAGAAGAAGATATTGGGAAACAAGAGGCCTTTCCCTGCCACCGATTCGAGTTTTGGGGTTCAAGATTTCAAGAGATCGCAGCACCCAGATAACTCGCAATTGATGAAGAAGTGCGGCCAGGTGCTGTCCAAATTGATGAAGCACAAGTTCGGGCCTATCTTCAATGTTCCGGTGGACGTCGTTGGAATGCAGCTTCACGATTACCACGACATAATCAAAGTTCCTATGGATTTGGGCACGGTGAAAAAGAAATTGGGGAAAAACCTCTATGATTCGCCGCAGGAATTTGCTGCAGATGTGAGGCTGACCTTCAACAACGCGATGAGGTACAATCCTAAGGGTCACGATGTTTATGTTTTTGCGGATGAGTTACTTGCAAAGTTTGAAGACTGGTTCCGACCCATCAAGGATGCGTTCACGGATGAGGAGGTCCAGGAAGAGGAAGAGCAGGTGCAAGAAGTAGAAGCGAGTTCTTGGGATCACAACCACCGGGGATCGGTGGAGACCGAAAGAGTATCGAAAGGCCAAGGCGGTGTGATGCAAGTGATGGCTAAATCCGAGCAAATTGGTAACTCGGTGGCTCCTCCAGCTACTGGATCGAGCCAAAATGTTAACCCTAACTTGGCTCCACAGTTGCCTGTAAGGACCCCATCACCACGACGGGCTCCACCAGTGAAGCCTGTAAAGCTTCCGAAGCCCAAGGCTAAGGATCCAAACAAGAGGGAGATGAACCTAGAGGAGAAGCATAAATTGGGTGTGGGATTGCAGAATTTGCCTCAAGAGAAGATGGAGCAGGTTGTGCAAATTATAAAGAAGAGGAATGGCCATTTGAGGCAAGATGGAGATGAGATTGAGCTCGACATCGAAGCCGTTGATACAGAGACTCTGTGGGAGCTTGATCGATTCGTCACCAATTACAAGAAAATGGAGAGCAAGATTAGGCGTCAAGCACTAATGGGTGGCAATATTAGGGCTCCTGCTGCGAGTGAAGGCAACAAGGTATATTGTTAGTTCATTATCAGTTATAATGCCAACTGGGTTTTGCTTTTATACCACCAGTTATTCTTTGTGGTGCATTGTCTGATTGGTGACTTTGGTTTTCTTGCGAATTAGGATGTGCCTGGCAACGAGAGAATGGATATTGTGAAGGAGGCAAAGAAGGCAAAGAAAGGTGACGCTGGCGAAGAAGATGTTGACATAGGCGATGAAATGCCAGTGAGCAGCTTCCCGCCTGTGGAGATTGAGAAGGACAATGGGCATGCCAGTAGCAGTTCTAGCAGCTCCAGTAGTTCCAGCGACGATTCTTCGTCCTCCAGTGGTATAACCCACCTCCTATGACTCGTGGAGAAAGGATTGGGTTTTATGATCTGCCAATCTTTTGCGAGTTCAAAGTACTAACTGTGAACTTGACTATGCAGGTTCGGATTCAGGGAGCTCCTCTGGGAGTGATTCAGAGGGTGCTCACTCGTAGTGCCATATCCATTACGTAACCAAAACCATTGTGGATGAGATTTCGGCATTGTAGATTGGAGGCGGAGGATCGCGGAGGTTGTCTTGCATATGGTGAATGCAAGGATGAGGTATGCTGATTGGGATGGTGGATTGGTTGCATTTGAGATGGTATGCTGGTAGTAATTTGATGCGAATCTATTTTGTGACAGGTTTGTTGGATGAAAGGAAAGTGAGTAGGTGGATTCTTTCCGAGGTTTGTTGGTGGAAGAAAAGTGGATGGACTTGTTGTGTATAATATAAATATAAAGAGAGGATCCAGCTAGCAGAAGGAAAAGGGAGGCTGAAGCCGTGGCTGGCTGGCTGGCCGGCCGGTGTTAAGTTAGTTTAGGAAGTGTAGTTTTAGAAGTTTGTGTTTGTTTTTTGATGTGGTGTCTAGAAGGGGAGAGAGTGGTGGTGAATAGAGTTGTGGGAAAGGGAGATAGGGGACTTGGGTTATTCGGGAGTACTTTGTGTACACATGACTGCAACATTTGAATACAAATTGAGCTGGTGGCTTTTTGCACGGGGCTAAGAGTGGTGCAGAAGAAGAAGAGTGTTAGGAAAGGGAATATCAGGTATGGAATATATATATGTAAAGTTGATTTCTAATCTCTAGTATTGTATTGCAATTTGCAATCCAAAAGTTGGAGGAAAACAGAAACAAGACCCACACAGACAGATTCTTTTCTTTTACTTTGTTGTTGACATTCTCCTCTCCCACTAGTCTGATGAATATGTTTGCGTTTAGAATAATGGGTTTGAGAGGAGAGAATGGTGGGTTTGTTGTAGGGAGGAAAATGAAAGGGCGGGAGCGGTTCCTGGTTGCCACCCTTTTGCATTTGGAAGGCCAGTAGCCCAGTACTAAGCGAAATCAGAAGATGATGCCATGGGTCGAATCTTCAATGCTAGCTGCTCTGCTCTGCTTCGCTTCGCTTCATTTAATCTTTTCTTCCTTTTCGATGACGACGACGCACGCCTTGCCATCTCGCAGGGATTCCAAGTTTGCATTTCTTCTGAAAGGAAAAAAGGAAACAAAAAATATGGAACAGAGAAACTCGAGACGGGTCAAAAAACACGGAAACGAAAAGAGGACGATGTAATGCTAATATGTAGAACTGATATGTAGAACTTCAGTTCGATTAAGAGAAACTACATAAGAAGGCTTTCTTAATTACTTCTATTGATAGAGTTGCTAAAACTAAAGTATTTGATGTGTGTGTCTGATTGACCTGAAACTGGATGTGTCTTGCAAAAGTAGAATAAAAATATTGAGGTGTATTTCTGATCCTTTCAATATTACACTATTCTATAACAAAAAAGGAAACTTCTCTTGCAGGATTATAGTCCTGATTCTGTTGAATTGAGCTTGGGAGGTGGCGATAGTGAGTAGCTACGACTAACTCATGATGGGAAGAGGGCTATCGCATGTGATCTCTTCTTATTTCAAGTAGGGGTTAGTTTCAGTCATCGAGGTATTTATACCCTGACTCCATTGAATGGACCTCTACACCAATATCATATTTTATGAATTAGTTCTTTATATTCATGCTCTTACACTATAGTCTAAAGTCATTACTAGGCAGGTTTAATTTATGATTTCTAAGATGGATATAACTGATGAAGTAGTGCACTTTGTGGTTCTCAAAATCATGACTTGAGAGGGCTAAGAGAAAATAAATGATTATAGTGGATAATTGGATTGTGAATCATCTTCATTTATGTGTTGCTTATCACTTTCTTACTTTATGTTAATGTGAATTGTCGCTTTCGATTGTAAATAGTTGGTTTTCTGTAACTTGCTTATTATGATTCTGCTTTATGGTAAACTTAACAGTTCCTTTATGAATCAGTTTCTTTATTGGGCGATGAACTTTGACTCTTCGGCTCCAATATATAGTGAAGTTGAGTGAGCTGTGTGAGTTAGATTATAAGTGCAGCTCTTACGTGGGAGATGATGTCCCAGAACTTGTCATGACAAAAGCTACAAGGATAGAACTGATTTGATTGCTGCAAACTTGTGTTAATAATGTGATAGCAGCCTAAAGGCTCCTTCCTTCCCCGGTGTCATTAAGTAATTTGTTAACTTCCGCTTCAGGGTTCCAAGGATTGTGGTATAGTAAAACAAATCATGTTAACTTCCAATAAGAATAAAAATAAAGCACAAGGGGGTCAAAGATTCATGTTAACTTCCAATAAGAATAAAAATAAAGCACAAGGGGAAAACAGAAAATAATTACCATTGTCAAATCTTTCAAATTCTAGCTGAAGAATTTATGCCGAAAGGTGGTCAAGTTTTGGGAGTGGGCCATTAAGGGATGAAAGCCTCCACTACTAAATTTAGCTTACTTGATATCTATGTCGTAAATATAGAAATATTCAGCCAAATTCTCATTTTCTAATAAGTAATCCCCATACGTAGTGTGACAGTAAAAAATGTTGAGAACTGATTTAATTTTATGGTGTTTATAACCCGAGCCATTGGTCGGAGGAGCTGAGCCGAATATCCCAATAATTCAATATTCAGCTGAGCTCCTCCGGCCAACGGGCCGACTTATAAGCTAGTATATATATACTAGGCTAGGACCGCGCTTTGCCACAGTTGTAAATTTATTGTATTATTTTGGTTGCCCGTTAGGGTTTGATTCTTTTGTAATGGGTGTAGCTGCGATAATAGTTTTCTTGATGATTCTTTACTTGATATAAACGTATATAGATTGTAGTTTTACGTATAATTGTCAAAGCTAAAGAAACCTTTATTTTGAATTGAGCTAAACGTTGAATAAAAAAATTTAGTGGTTATGATTCAGTTTCGATCATTATAGACACGTTGATGAATCATTTATAGAACCATTCGAGTTAGATTAAGAATGCAAAAGTGAAAATAAAGAAAATAGATGAAGAGTAATTGACAAAAGTAATGGAGAGGCAGTAGAAAAAGAGTACTTTGGTAACTAATTAGAATTTTATGTCTTTATTTCTTTTTCTTTTCCCCCCTAAAAGATAGCTTGTATTTCGAATGCCACCCATGTTAACCTTATCAATAACGATCTTCACATCACCTTCAAAGTGCACATTCTCCAACCCTGGAAGATGGCACCACCAGATAGCATTTCGTAATGTCGAAAGCTCCACCAACATCAGATGTGAAGACCATTATACGTCACCCCTTAGACTCCGACACTTGGAAAAACTTTAAATTATATAACCACTTTGATCGAAGTTGTTATGATAGTTCAACAACGAACTGCAAACAACTTATGCGATGCCTATTTTCTTTTGTTTTTCTTCCGCCTTCCTTCCTTTGTCATTTTCAACTTATATGGCAACCAATTTGTCTTTTTTTTCTTCCTTTACTCTGCTGCGGGTTGCAAACGTGGCACAAAAGAAATTATGCTAGTGCAATCAGCTAAAATGTTAGTGAACACTTAAAATGCTTTACCTTTATATATATTAACTAGGTGGCGATGTAGCGCTTTGTCGCGGGGCGGAGATGGTATATGGGCATGTATTATGTGGCCCGTTATGGTGTTTTGTTAGTATTATTAGTCTAAAATTAATTTTTTGTTAGCAGTTTTGTTAAATAATATTGATTTGACAATATGTATATTGACTGAGAAGAGAGCATCTAATTTAAACAAATTTTAAATTTTTGTCTAATAAGTGATATTTACCTAAACCCAACGCAACCGTTATTTGTTTGGTACCATGTAACCAGAACCTCAAATCTTAATTACTGTCTAAAGCTGACTTGACTGCTGATGCAATCTCAGAATAACCACTTATATAAAGCATCCACAACCGGTTTCATGCGCACAGCTGTTAGAAATAACGGGTTTCCGGATCTGGATTGGTCTTTGGGAATTAGGGATTATAGTAAGAAATTGGGGATTTAGGGTCGAAGAAGATTAAATTAGAGATTATGAGAAGAATTTGGGGATTTGGGGAAGAACAGAAGAAACGACCGAAGTCTTTGGAGGAGAGAGATAGACGAGATTGAGAAAGAATAAAATAGGGTTTGCGAGATAATTTCTTCTATTAATCTTTGCTTAATCGTAAATGAATGGCCGAATACATATTTGTAGGAAAATACTGGAAATCCTAATAATAAACCTAAACTTAACCCTCAAGTTATTGACATCCCTAATAATTATCCTACCATAAATAATAAGGGAATCCCACAAAAGGTAGGTTTCTGACAATCCACCCCCTTTAAAAGAGACCTTGTCCTCAAGGTTGTATTAATTTTTTGTTCTCTTGACCTTTCGCTTTCTTCGTTTCCAATTGCACTCAATCCCACGAGTGAACTCTTCTCCAACAACCTCAACTTCCCTCCACTCTTCTCCAACTACGTGATACGTGTCACGTCCTCCGTAGCTCGACAAGTCTTCTTCCTCGTTGAAATCCACACAATATGAATCGGAGAAATGTTCTTCTTTATCCTCCTCATCACTAACTAGCGTGAAATCTTCAAGGGAATGCTCCACATATCCAGCCACGTGCATGGTGGTGAAGACAAGCTATAGATTTTTCCAAAATTCACTTCTTTTATTCTTCGCTCGGTCTACACTCTCTTAGAGGAAAGAGCTGCAACCCAAACAAACCGCAAACCTCATTTTACTCCACTTGTCTTCTAACTTGATTGGGCCAGGCTCATCTGAAAGCCCACATGCCAATCTAATCAACTCATCTCTTTCCTTCAAAAAAAGCATATGGGCGGCCACCCGCTTTTTTGAATGTTAGCGCCTCTCTATAGTGCCAATTGATCAAAGTCCTAAGCTTGGGAAATCATCCCACTTCGTTGTGTTTCTCCAGCTACCCCAGTAATCCAAAGTCTTTCTCCAGCTATCCCAGATGGAGGCTCAGCAGGGAGTCATCCTCGCTCGCCTCGAGTGCTAGCGGGACCGCATCCGCCACATGCAGGAGGCACACCAGTTCCTTCTCTAACAGAGTCAGCTCTATCCCACCCAGACGTATCCTTGAGTGGATCTCAAGTGCCACCACCGACCCCCATCCCCTGAGAGATGGTGATGAAATCATAAACCAGATTAGAAGCAAATGAAGTCTTGAAAACTTGCTTATCTAGCAAAGGGGTAAGCTTAGGTGAGCAAAGTGGTCATACACCCTATACCAACAAATGAAGATTCAAAACAACACCTCAAACATGCTTTTAAGGGTATAATATAAGCATTGAAGTTCATTTTTCATTCATCAAATCATTACAAGTACATACCATGTGGTTTGGGCATTTCATCGAGCACTTAGTAGGCGACAATCAAAGCATCTAGAATCATGTAATTCATGCCCACCAAGGCCTCCAGACCACATACATTCATTCATAAACATACAACACACAACAACATACCAACATTTCATCCTTCCTAACAAAGGCAATGTCGTTTACTATTCCTCATGCTACAAAAAATCCTTAAAAGAAGATTAAAACATGCAAGTTCTTTATTGAAAGGTAAGTGGAAGAAAAGTCAAAATGAGGTTGGGGTGTCTCCCAACTAGCGCGTCTTTTACGTATCGGTGGATGGCTGACTTCATGTACTCAGTCCAGCTCAAAACCTCCTTGAAGTTGAGGTTTTCATCTGCAAAGTGGAGCCTCAAGTTTTGATTGGGTTCCCGATCATTCGTTGAAGGCTCATATAGATGAGAATACTTAAGACACCTCCAATGAAACCTCTCTTAAAAACTTTTATTTTCTTTTCTTTGCCTTGAACCAAATCAAGCATCCTTAAAGGGTCATCATCGGATCCACCAAGAGCGATTGATGATGCCTTGGCCTCTTCTTAGCAAAGAGTGAATGCAAAAGAATCCGATGCAAGGGTCTTCCAGGGCTGGGTGACCTTCCATGGCCAAAGTGAATGACCTCTTCTTGCACACCAACCCTGGTGATCCCCAAAACATCTTCATCCTGTTCTTCAACATCCTTTCCTTTTTTTTCATTGATGTCTTCCTCCATATTGAGTATCAAGCTCATCCTCTTTTTCACTATCTGCTTCTCCTTTTCAACTTCATCAATAATCTCTTCCATACATATTCCTCTTTGTTGATTGGGGGCTATGATGTTTCTTCAAGCAAGTTCTTTACTAGATTGATGATCTTTGGAGTCCACTTGCTCGCCGACCGTTGAGACTTCTTCCTCTCCTTCTTAATTATTAGAATCGAGGAGGTGAGTTTGATTGATTCTCAAACTAATTTGTTCAAGATCTTTCTTCTTTGCTTCTAACCTCTAGTTGAAAACTTGCTACTCAATAAGGAAGTCTTGAAAGGAATGGGTCGGGTTATGTTTTGATACCTCTATTTGGAAGGGAGGGGCTTGATGTGTGTATGCTACATGCTACTTAGCGTATTAGGACTATTTACTTAATTGCTAGTAGTCATTAGGGTTAGACTACTATATAAACTGTCGTTATGTCATTATGTCATTATGTCGTATTATGTGAAGAATAAATCCTAAAGTTGTTAGTTTTCTCTGTAGTTTATCGTAGAAGTAGATCATACATCTATCAACTTGATTCCATCTCCAAGAGCATCCTAAGCAACCAAGGAAGAGGAGCTTCACATCATGATGATTGTTTCCTTCTATTTGGTTGTGTTTCTCACTCTAGCCATGGAGTAGTCCTCCTATTCACTTTGACGATGTAGAACGCGTCTATTATGTTGTAGTTAAATGATTGAGAACACTGTGCTTAGATTTGCATGATTGATTATATATTGATTTGTATGTTAATCATGTAAATTGAAGGTTCTTGATCACTTCCCTCAATTTGGGGCTAATTGATCTAAGTGAGAGAATATATCCTTAGGGTTAATTTAGAGCATAACCAAATCAACATTTGGGGTATATGAAAGAGTGTGATTAGATCCCTTGTGTCGTAGCTTTGGTTGCCTCAATTGTCTAGGTTGGTAGTTTGGTAAGCCTCTTCAGGTAGTGCAATTGAGTGAGATAGGATAACACTAATAGGGAGTACTATCTAGATTAGAGCTCCCTACAATATATGTTAAGTATCATGCTAGAGTGTCACAACGCCAGCTTGACATAGACTAGGGGGAAACTCATCTGAGTGAAGTTTCCTCAATTGAATTCCATCACAATTTACTTGCATGTCTTGACATAACACATGGGAAAAAGAAGTCCAAAATAGTGTCTTCTACTTCCATGTCAATAATATTCCAATAAGCTTTGTAGAATTATGTAGGAATTATATTTGGACCTAGCCTTATCATTGCTCATCTCATTTATCCTAGCAATAGAGAGAGTGAGTGAGAATCTATCTGGACCAAAAATCCACAACGAGATGATATTCCAGGGGACAATGTGCAAACAATAATACGAGAAAACTTACTTATCATTCAGTATTGACCAAAATCGATCTATTCGACACGCAATAGAGAGAATTTAATTTCCCATATCCTCTACAATTTAAAAGCTATGGACCAACCATCTCAAATGGAAAAATAACTATTTTTTCTCTCCTAGAGTTTTAGAATTCCATGAAACAAATACAGTACAACAAAAACCTGAAATTTCAACTGATCGCAGTTGAATATGAAAATTCAAAATTTACCGCAACTCTTGCGAAATAAAGAAAGGTTACACGACAGTTTAAGCTCAATTTTGATTCCGGTAAAGATAATATAATAACCATTTGAAAGTGAGCTGCAAAAACTGAAAAGTACAAGCGGGCATATACATTCGCATGCATATATAATGAGCTGCACACCGCTATCAAATTATGTTAGAGAAAAGAGACGTCAGAGAAAACCAAATTACAACAATGAGCCGAAAGTCGCTCAAGATTTTGTGGTAAATCCAGTAGGGAAGGCCCAATACAGACAACATCAACGCTAATTTGCTATATGCTATTCCTACTTACATTGCTTCTTTACTAATAAGAATCCGAAGAATTCTTAAGGACATGAATCAAAAAGTCATGTTAGCCATATGAACGTTCACTTTCCTGAATCAAATGCGCAAGTATCCTTTGCTTTCTTGTAACCCGATGGTTCTCTTGAGAAATGGTTTCCTGTTGATCGACCAACTTCTTTTCATGGATACTCTCGTCCTCTATGAAGCAAAAGATGTCCAAGTAGAAGGGAAGATAAAGCACAACAGCACAAGCAACATCATTCCCAGCCGTAGAAGTATCACATTATGGAAACCATCTTTTAACTCTGGCTCATCTTGGCCTGTCCATGGGACTCCTCCAACATTCATCCCAAATACTGCATAAAATGATTAAAATGAGAGCCTGTGTAATAGTGTTATTGAAGAGCCAATGATTGAAATGGGCAAGAGGCTGCCTATCTTACCTCCCGTGATGATTGATAGTGGAAGAAATACAATGGAAAGGAATGAGAGATAGTACAGCTTTCGGTTGATTTGCTCAGATTGCCAACTATCAAGACCTGCCTGAATCACCATTACACGGTTTGCTATGAAACCCACATTCTCTTTTAGTGTCCTCAATCTTCCAATCAACTCTTCCGAGGAATTAATGTCTTTGCTGGCAAACCACCCTTTTGTTGAACACTTTTCCTTCACTCTAGGAAGTACTTGCTCCCCATGGGCAATCACCTGTGATCAACCAAATGATACAAGTTGAGAACTTAACTTAATTCTGCCCTATTTTCTAGAAAGTTGTTAAAAGGAGGATAAATCCAACAACTGAAGCATCTGGCTTACTTAAGTTCATTTGCTGAAAATGAGTCATATGAAACACCTGAAGCAACTGTTGGAGATTAAGGTGCATTTTTGGGAACCTTCTATCATCTAGCATTTGTTTATTCAAAGCAAAACTCCCTGAAAGATACCAAGAAAAGTAAAGGACCTCAGTTTCATTCAAAGAAAAGTGGAAATCAACTTGTCAACACAAGATACACTATGGCCACAGAACTAGGGAGTAAACTTGAATTCAAAGAAAAGTGGAAATCAACTTGCCAGGTCAAGATACACTATGGCCACAGAATTGAAAGGGAGTAAACTAGTGAGATAAACAAGATGAAAATAAAGACATTCTAAAACTAGCATCCTTTCACTGATTTGGAAAAGACACTTCCATTATATTTGCAACTTCTACAAATGAAATAAAACAACATAAATGAAGATGCAACTGGCATCAAAAGTGTAATATTCTTCAGAAGCCTCACAACCAGATAGGCAAAAGTCAAGGAGAAAAACTAGAATTAATACTAAGACATTGTGCAGATGAAGTTAGTTTCTGGTTGCTTCTTGGGAGTTCAACATGGTACCAAAAGAACTCCTGACCTCTACCTTCTGTGATAACCCATTCTTTATTATAGTAATTACCATGACCATCGAATATATAAGCTTTCTGCCTCATCGTGCTAGGGAGACGAGCTCGATCAACAGGGTTTTCATGAGTTAGGCTGTCGTCAGTGGGTTCTCTATCAATTTCCTCTGCGTGCCCATTGGCAACGGGTTCTTTTCTGGAAAGCTCCATCTATTTCGACCAAGATTCCAGTATGCATTATGCAATCCTAAGAATGTGTAAAGAGCATACAATGCAAAGACTCCAAGGTAAACTCTAGGAATGGCTAAAATGTTGACCACCAAAGAATACAAAGCACCTTGAAATTGATCATGAAGCCTCCTACATTATAGAACCCAACATGTCACAATTGAGTTGAGATACAATTTATGAAAGGCGCTTCAGAAAACAACCAGAACTACAACTAGGGAATCACCAGCTAACAGATAATTCTTCATCAAAATTTGAAGCAAACCGAACAAACACCGAGAAGAAGGAACAATTTCACATTTCAATCCTCAACAGTCCCTGTACAGGCAGAGATGCTACGTTATCCTCAACCAATAATTCATCAAACGAAAATCAAACAACAAGAAGATGAAAACTACTACCCTCACGAGAAGGATAGATCTCAATGACCTTAATCTGAGACAAGAAGTGGTGTGCACTCATTATCATACGGATCCGGGATCAGACGTAGTCACTAGTCAGGATTCAGGAAGCCTAAATGCCACTTTCCTTCCCCGAGTCCCCAGAATCAGAGAAGGATAAAAGTTTCAGCTGTAGGAGGAATTCAGGAGCCTAAAACAAAATTCAGATCGCCACAATTGGCCTGTATAATGCTTGATGGAGAGACAGAATGGGGGAGGGGGACAAAGACCAGCTGCCGGTGCTGTGGTAGTTGGACGGCTACCGTTGATCGGCAGCTCACCGGCGAAAGGGACGAGGAGACTTGTGTTGTGTCGTTGGTTAGTTTCGACGGCTCTATGCAATGAGTTCGGGTTCTGGCCGCATAACATTTCTTTTCTTTTTCAATTAGAAAAGTTTGTCAAACCAGTTTGTATGATAGCGCAGGTTTGGCAAGTGGTGGTATAATCGGTGTGCACCAGTTCATACCGATTTAACAAAATATGTAAAATTATAAAAATTATAAATATCAAATGTATTTAATTATATATAAATCATATTTATGGATAATTTACATACAATCCAGCAAATAACATCAATTTTTGCCTTTTAAATTCATAAAATTAATTTTCTTTGCTGCTGTAAAATTAATTTTTTGTATTAGTTAATGATATGATCCTAATTACCCCCTTGAACAAGGTTGATTTTCTTGCCGAAGGATCTATTCATGTTGGAAGGAAAAAGGAAAGAATTTGGCTAAGTGTTCAACCCGTTTAATGGTGCTTACTTTGGAGATTCATATCTTAAATTCTAGTCGATGGAAATGCAAGGGAAAGATGGGAATCTCAAGAACAAGAGTTAAACTACATCTCTAATGGTTGCTTTGCACACGAAAAAGTCCCTAAGGACATTAACCAACTTGTTGAAGTTGCTATATACCTACCGAGAAACTTCCTGATTTTGGCCAAGTCTGGAGACAGTTCGAGCTACCTACTTTGAGGGCTTATTTGAGACGATTTTGGTACAATCAAGGGGAGCTAGAAGTTGGAGGATGAATCCTGAGACTTGTTGAAGAAATGAATGAAGCCTGATTGGATCGAAGCTCCTTGGTAAGCTTCGAATGAGAGCCTCAAAGTAGCTACGGAGGCTGAGTTCATTTCTTGTGCAAGAAAGCAACTACTTGTGCGTCAAGCAACCGAGCATTCTTTCCTTTTCTAGTTTGGATTTTAGTTTCCTTGTTAGAGATTGATCCTAGATTTGATTCCTTGTTAGATTAGAAGTTTTTTTCTTTGTTGTTTGCTATATAAAGGCTTAAAGCCTCTATGTAAAAGTCAGTTTTAGTTGAATTGGAGAAAAGTGACTTTCTCACCAAACCCTTCATTATTGGTTGTGTTCCAGCTTCGATTTGTGCTTCGTATCGATTGAAAACAATATCAATAGTGGTCGAGCTTCATCCAAACCCAATCGAGCCTCTTCCCTAGTGTGAAGTTGCACCTTTGGTTCGTTTTAGTTTTCAATTTCCCAAGTTCAATTGAGTTTTTTTCGATTGAACCTCAATTGTGTGACTCTGACAATCATAAGCAAGGATTTATCTTGCATTAGTTAGATTCCCTAAAACGATGTCATTTTGCTTAAAATTCGTAAGTCTATCATGCCAGTCATACCATTGGTGTTATGCCAGTTTCATGACTGACACAAGTTGAAACAGGGTCAACCGGCCGACATATAATGATTATAAGCCAACATAAGCTGACTTGCGATAGCTAATACAAATAATAAATAATATAAAGGATTAATAACTACTCAAGTCCCCGTACTATGCAAAGATAACGAATAAGTCCCTATATTATGTTTATTCAGAAGCAATCCCTTGTACTACAACTTAGAAACAAATGAGCCCCTCCTTTAATATTACTGTTAACTGTTAAGTAGTCTGTTATGTCTGGGGTCCATCAATTATTTGTGAGCTAAAAACATATATGTGTTGAGAATTATTGAAGGGCGGTTGGCTGTTCATTAAGCAGTCGTCCCCAAAAACGTGTATACAGGACTGCATAGTTTCTGCATAGTAACTTTTCCATTTCTATAAATAGCTGAGATTTCTGATTTCAGAAATCATTCAGAGAAACATTAGTAGGAAGAGAGAATATTTCTCTATGTGTATACTCTGTTGAAAGATAATAAAGAGAGAGTGTTTTATATATGTTTTATATCTACTTTGTCTATTATATCTCATATTGTCTTATTTCATACTCTATACGTCTATCTATCGAAATTCACAACACGTTATCAGCACGAGCGCTCTACCTACTCAAGGTCCTGCAAGTCAAAAATTGTTTTTGAGGTAGATATTTTTCATCATCAGGTACGCATACCCTCTTTTCTATAAAAAGCTCAAACAAACAGAGCCTTAACTATTTTGCCATTATGCACAGTATTTGCACAGTTTTTTTTAACGTAATGTTGCAGGGTCGCTTTCATCAAATAGTAAAATTACTATGCATATACTATTTGTGGAGCCCATGACATTATTATTATTGTTTTTATATGATATTATATTGAATGATGGGCACCGCTATGCCACTGACTTTCTAACACACTAATCGTATTATTATTACTCTTACAATTATTGTTATATGCTATGTTACAGTGATAGCAAATTAAAAGAAATCAGAGTAAATTCCTGAAATTGATAGGTTCCAGAATGATAAAAGCTAAAGTGAATAGCTAAGGTCAAATGACCTATGGATAAATGGGTTATCCGAATTATGAGAAATCCTCTGGACGTAATTCCATTCCCGGAAGTGAAGTGAAAAAGGACAAGGTTAAAATACCTAAACCTAAATTGGTTTGTCCTAATGATGAGAAATTCCAACGGTAATAAATTTTCACCTGCATTGAAAAATGGGATAGTAAAGAAATTTCCTATAAAGGGACAAAGATATTGTCCATATAACGTACCAGTTGTACGTTGAATCGTTTCATGGATTTAATCAAGAATCATTTGAATAAAGTGATCATATCCTGAAGATTTTATGGCAAAGCATTTAAGGGCTTATCCAAGGTGGGACACACCGGATTTGATTATACGCCCATTTGATATAATGATTCATGGGGTATTACTCATAAGATGATCCAATGAAGTTAATGATCAGTTTATGACTTGACTCCAAAAATGATGATGAATATAATATATACCACAAACTTTCTGGAAGTAAAGTTTGGATTTATTGATACAATGAAGTACTTAAACTTCACTTTATTCATAGCATTCATACATCATACATGATTTGAGATCTAAGTCTCATTTTTCATACTACCATATATGGATCAAAGACTAGAAAATATCTAGTCATGCTTATGATCCTCGCGTTTGTGTATCGAAACGTAGCGTTCATGATTGCGATAGTGTATCTCTAGCAAGATAAGTATTGCAATGAGAAACAAAATCATAAAGATCCATGACACCCAAATCAAGATTAGAAAGGAAGAAATTTCTTCCGCCATTGCTTCACCCGAACTCGATAAGATCCCTGAAGCGACTTATAACGAGAAGAGTTCCCAAGAAGGGAAGAAGAATGATGGAATTGAGAGATGATGGGTGATTTTCGGTTTTGAATGGAATGAATGAAGAGGAAGGAAGGTTGTGGTTTTTATAGCCATGAAAGAAGGATGTATGTTGGAAAAAAATAATTGATGTTGTAGATTTTAGATAAAATTGTATTGATGTGGTAAGATTTTGATAAGATTGTGAAGATATGAAGAGATTGTGGTTTGAAATTTTGAAAAAGAAAATAGATAGTGTAGTGTATGTCGGCCGCCATAACACACAGGAAGTGCCAAAAAGCATATCGAATTTACCAGGTAATCATAGTTGATATTATGCTGTATGTTCTATCTAACAGTTCTCTTTCAGTGAAATAAAAAGAATAGGGTTCGAAATCTGGCGTCAATGGAGCTCGAACCTACGACGTTCCAGGTGAGGGCATAGAGCCGTACCACTTCAGCCGCGTCCCTTTTTGGTATCATTCTTAGATTATTTCATAATATATATTATTGTGATTTAGACAACGGATTAATTCTCGTGGTTAATTATTTTTCTTAAGAAAGAAGCAATCAAGCAAATGCAACAGTAAACTTGAAGTTTACATTACGTGATAAATTGATAGTTTGGCATGACCGGTTGGGCCATCCCGGATTAATTATGATGCAAAAGAAAATTAAGAATTTATGTGGACATTTGAAGGAATTCAACAAGATAGTTTTATCTTGTGCTGCTTGTTCTCAAAGAAAGTTGATCATGAGATCATCACCAGTGAAAGTAAGAATTTGAATATTATATACGATGAGCATATATAATGCCAAGTTGGTGAACCAATACACCATGTGGACCATTTAGGTATTTTATGAGTTTAATCGATGCATCGACTAAATGGTCACATGTATTCAGCTGCAACCTGAAGTTTGCAAGACTGATTGCTCAGTTGATTCAATTATGGGCACATTTTGATGAATGTCCAATCAAGAAAATATATCTTGACAAATACTGGTGGTTACTAGAATTAATACAAAATATCTTGTAGCACATGTGTGTGCACAAAATGATCTCGATGAATCACTCACTCTGAAATGTCATCTTACATGCGGCAACACTGATTTTGCATCATGCCAACAAGATGTTACTAATAAACCCCTGTATAATTGGTTCTGGTCAGGACCTAAAATATCCCATCAGAGAATTTATGAAAGTGCAATATACGATGTAAGTTGATCCACCACAATTTACAAAGATGGGTTTTGCAAAGGAAAATTGGAAACTGAAGTTGCATAAGAAGTCTCTAATTGTTTTAGTGAGACTAGAATTTTTATATGATATTTATTGACGTTGTTATATGAACAAGTCAATGTTTCCAATATCAGGGGGAGAAAAAGAAAGGGTAAGCAGTTGATTTGCAAATTGGTTGAAATGAATTATGATCCTCATACTTAGAATGTGAACATGAAGTTCAAAGATAATTCATTTGCCAAGATTGGTTAGCCTACTGCCAGGCATCGTTACTAACCCAAAAAGAAGTGACTAAGTCACGAGCAACTGCTAATGCTCCTAAGTTAATATCCTAGAGGGATATATTATACACATATGACGTGTGATAAAAATTATCGGTTCCAGAAATACAAATCCTCAAGTAAGAAGGGAGCTAAGAATAAAAATGGTCTTTATAATGAGGATATTGTAATTCTATTCTCCAAGAATTATTGGTTTGGTATAACCACAGGTACCTGTTTGGGAAAATGAAAGAGCTCTCAATAAATTATATCTTGGATGAAATTTGATGGAATCAAAAGGAAGTCAACGTTGACAATGAATTTTGTATATATTGTAGCGCGCAATATGATGAATGAAAAATGAGGATCGAAAAGAATATAAAACAAGATGATTGGCCAAATCATAACGACGCATTGGAGGCAGTTATGAACTCGCCTACAGAATAAAATGTCATGGGATTTATACTCCTTGTATACGAAGAAGTAATGTCAATAAAGCATACATGATGTCTTACAATGACATAACAAAGGGGAAGAAATTAAGAGATATTATGCTCGACTTATCAAAAGAGTATTATATAATACTTGACATTGAGTATAAGGAGACTCACTCTCATATGGTGGATATGACTTTTGATATATCAATTAGTCTGGCAGTATGAGGAAAAACGTCTAGTGGATGTATTACAGTGCATTTATAAAAACATGCTTAATAATGATGATATTTATATGGAACTCCCTGGAGGAGTTAGTTTGCACGAAGCAAACATGTTAAGGTTTTTAAGAACGTTATTCAAGTAAATTGAATTTCACCTTAAACAAAGTGAAAGAGCATCGATTAATATGAGATAATGATCTGAATAATTTTGAGGCAGGCATCTGCGTACTCAGAATATCTTCCAATGATTGTTTCATATGTTGTGACAAAGAATCATTGGTTGTGGGTGTCAAACTTCTTATAAGAAGGTGTTTGTAATATGTTTTCAAGTTGAGATGAAAGGTATAAATATGGTTGAAACTCTTGAAGAGTGTTCAAAGGCAATAAGTTATTGAAATCAATAACTTAAAACGACGAGACTTTAACTTGGATTACAAAATCAAATATTGTAAGACAAAGTCCTCTGCATCAAAAGATATATAAATATGCACAAATGATAATAATGGATGAATTATCCATTGAATAGATCAAAGAGTAAGATCTATATGAAAATAATCATATGTTTGTCTATTGGTAAAGTAATTACCAAATACATGGTCGTATAGTACATGATCTTAGTATCATCGAAATATTAATATATTGCCACTTGATATATTAGTGGTACAATATAGAGTTAATCACGCAATGTGATATGATCACAAACAAGTTTGATGATGTTACCATATAAGCGGGAATAAAGTTTATACGGCTACTTGACAAAGCAACATAGAGTATCTACATCATTTGATCATGCAGATACCATAGTCACAAATACGAAAATCATGAATCAGTTTGAAAAATATTCATGATAAAATTCATCGGAGAAAATTGGTATATGTTCCGAAAAATTGATCTTGATGATCAATCATAGTATATCTCTTAATTGAAATTAGAGATGATGATGGAGATATGATATATATTGTTTTCCACAAGAGTTCTTTTCCACTCATGACCTTCGTACAAACGCCCAACTAAATGTTTGGCTAGTTTGTTTAAACATTAATGTGACATGAGTATCACTAGAATATTTCATTCTATATTATGTGAAAAGCTAGTCCATAATATATTGGATATTGATGACTTCAAAATTGATGGATCTCCCCTTGAGGGGGAGAAAATACGCACTGCACTCTTTTTCCCTTAACCATGGTTTTTCCCACTGGGTTTTCCTGGTAAGGTTTTTAACGAGGCAGTATACAAAAGCGTATTACAAGAATTGTGTACTCTTTTTCCTTCACTAGGTTTTATCCCACTGGGTTTTCCTAGCAAAGTTTTAACGAGGCATATTCTTGATCAATGAACATCCAAGGGGGAGTGTTGAGAATTATTGAAGGGCGGCTGGCTGTTCATTAAGCAGCCGTCCCCAAAAACGTGTATACAGGACTTCATAGTTTCTGCATAGTAACTTTTCCATTTCTATAAATAGCTGAGATTTCTGATTTCAGAAATCATTCAGAGAAACATTAGTAGGAAGGGAGAATATTTCTCTATGTGTATACTCTGTTGAAAGATAATAAAGAGAGAGTGTTTTATATATGTTTTATATCTACTTTGTCTATTATATCTCACATTGTCTTATTTCATACTCTATACGTCTATCTATCGAAATTCACAACAATATGCCCTTTATTGTTTTAATAGTTGGACAAAAAAAAGTCTCATACTTGACAATAGATTCCTAGGATTTGTGCAAGAACTCCAACTCTCCAATATCCTATGCATTGATAGTAATCGATGAGACTTGCGATGAAGTTAATGGGCTAGGCGGCCATGGGGAGGCCAGATATGATATTGATGAGGTTGTAGAGGTCTGTGAAGATTAAGGTTATGGTGTAGAAGATAGGTGAAGGCCGGAGTTGGGGAGAAGGGAGGAAGGATTATACCATATGTTTGGGATTTTGAATGGTGTGAATGGGAATAAAAGGAGAAAAATCCAAAAGAAGATCTTGAAGTACCACGTTGGTAAGATGTGGGAAAACAGAGTTTCGAATTTGGTTGATTTAATTTAATACGTTGGTAATCGAATAAATTGGTTTGTGTAACCAACCGGATCAAACCGAACCAAGTTGAACCGAATCGAACTGATATGGCAGTTAGAGTAACCAAACCGGTTCAACTCCTATGGTCCGAACCACTGCAATGGTTGAAATATTTTAAACGAACCATTACAATGGTTGAGGTATACCCACCCATACGAAGAGTCGCCTCCCTTCACACACACCCCATAATTTTCTATAAATAGCACCAACCCCCTCTATTTTCATATGCGAGTTTTCCTAAAATGATTTTTGGTCGAAAGAAAGAAAATAGGGCGTCCTCAATGACGAAGTCCCAATAATTTGCATAAGACGATAACTCATCACATGTTTCACAGAATGAGTGGTGCCACCAATTTGTTCCATTAATAATTGAACAAGGACATTATTAAAAAGAATACAACAAGGAAAAATATGGCGGTTGAAAAATAAGGTCGTTGGCCAAAACACACAATAAACCTCAAATGGGCTGATCTATGAAAGAGAGACATAGGTGATATTTGGTGAACCATTTTTTATTTAAGTGGTATACCTTCTCCATTTTTCAAATTTTGATGGTATCCCAACCATTTTACCCACTAATCTAACAACTGTAATGAGTTAAAGCAACTTCTTAATGATTCCATTTTTAAGCACTCTATCTTACTAATTACACATTTGTTATAAATGCCCACATTAATGAGTAAAAAGTATAAAAATAGTATCATTGCATGATAACTAAAATATGTTATTATTATTTACAACCGTCATTATGATGACGAGTCTTTCGACACCAAAACCAACTTTCATTAATATCAAAAGGTCATGGTGTAAAGTTTTTTTGTGCGCAAATAGGAGGCCCTCTGCCAAATACCAACACTATAGTGTTAGCTTAGTTCAAGCCATTGGGAGTATATATGTGGGATATCCTTAGGATTGAAATGAAAACTTAATGTTAGCAACAAACAATGCATGTTTGTGGCACACACTACCTAGAGATTTCCTAAACGACAATCATAGACGTAGATAACCTCCTCTGTGATTCATTCCGATGGTTCTCCTGAGAAATGATTTTCTATTTATTGACCAGCTCCTTCTCATTGCCACTCTGCGCCTCCAAGAAGCCAAAGAAGTGTAAGCCCATGGCAAAAGGAAGCATAGCAAGACGAGCAACAACATCATAAGGCATATAAGAATGACGTTCTGGAAACCATCTTTAAGTGCTGGATCATCTTGCCCCGTCCATGGAACGCCTCCCACGTTCATGCCGAAGACTGTATATATGTATCAGATGGATAAGACATTATAATAGTGTAAGGAAGGATGATAATTGAGGAAGAAGTATGTGCAAGCTAACCTCCAGTGATGATTGATAATGGAAGGAATACAATGGAAAGGAAGGAGATATAGTAAAGTTTCTTATTGATTTGCTCAGCTTGCCAACTATCAAGACCTGCTTGAATTGCGGTTACTCGATTTGCTATGAACCCTACATTCTCTTTCAGCCTCCTCAGGCTCCCAATATACTCTTCCAAGGCATTAATGTCTTCACAAGCAAACCACCCTCTCAAAGAGCACTTCTCTTTCACTCGGGGAAGTACCTGCTCCCCGTGTGCAATCACCTACAACCATGTAGGTTAAATAGAACTTATGATTAGGTATCGTTAGGGACGAAGTCAGGAATTCAAGTTGGAATATGATGAATTTTCCCCGTGATAATACTATTAATGATAAGTTACTACATAATTTGTTTATATCTAGGAAATTACTTGGATAGTTTTAAAAATAATAGTTCGTATTACATTTCATGTCATACACATACCTCAAATTTATTGGTCATTTACCATCAAATATCATAAAAAAAATTATTAAAATGGGGAAAAATTCTAAAAAGTTCCTCATTTCATCTAATTTTAATTTTGAATATGTATGAAAAAATTCACATTCAATATCAAATTATGGTAAAAATTAATTTTGATACCAAATTATAATTTGAAAATTATAAGCTAAACAAAGAACTCTTATATTAAAAATCAAAATATTTTTAACAAAATATCATCAAGCAATATACTATATATTTTCACAAAATAATACCATATGTGAAATAATCATACTATTTCATAAAAATTAAAACTTGACAACAAATTATTATTTCAATAAAATCTCATAATCAATAAGACACAAAATAGAAATCCATAAAATAAGAGAAAAATTCTACTCTTTCCCGGGGGACCACCATGGGTATCGTTCAAGTTCTACTCTTCCCATTAGAAGAAACATATTGGAAGAAACTATTAAATAAAATACCTGAAGCAACCGTTGGAGATTAAGGTGCATTTTTGGGAACCTTCTATCATCTAGCATTTGTTTCTTCAAAGCAAAACTGCCTGAGAAGATCATGAAAATAGCCTCGATTACATTAAAATATGATTTGAGATGAATTCCCTTAGCGAAAGTACACTATGTAAAACGAAGTTGTTAAGATAAACAAAAGATACTATCTTAAAAAACATATCATACCTACCTATTTATTAAATAAGACACTTTAATATGTATGTTTGCAAGCCTTACAAAATACAACATGAAGATTTTAAATTAAGTTTATGCATAACTTAGAACCAAATAGGTACTAAAAATATCATATAAAAATTTCCTTACCTTTATCCAAGTCAAGCTCCACAGATTCTAACTCCATCTCTAATTTTGTCACAGTATCTTGAAGGTGGTCCACATGAGTGTCAAGAATATGAACCACAAGATTTGAGATTGTTTTTGGAACTGGATTGTCAGCCTCCTCCGAGTGATTCATCGTCAAGAGGAACTCAAGAACATGTTCTTTAATCACAGGTCCAACAGCTGTCCTGTTCCTCCCTCTACGGTAAGGAGATTCCACACTAGGAATCTCCGAAAGCAGAGATTGGCTCGTCGGTGAGAATCCTACCCTAGGAATGTGACCTAATGATACAGTAATAACCGAATTTTCGGTAACTCTAGCAGCCAATCGGAACGTAAAGTTGCTCGAAGGGGGACCGGGAGAATTAACTCTAAACACCAGTGCTCCATCTACATATCCACAGAAGGGTCCGTTGCTCACTAGTGATAAGATGTCCTGGAGTTTCAAGGGAGGGCATAGAAGGTCGATGAGCCATTGTGCAGATGAAGTTAGTTTCTGGTTGCTTCTTGGGAGCTCAATATGGTACCAACAGAACTCCTGGCCTATACCTTCTGCTAGATCCCATTCTTTGTTGTAGTAATTCCCGTAACCATCAAATATGTAGGCTTTCTTTCGGACTAGGCCAGGGAGACGCACTCGAGGGACATGGTTTTCATTCTGTTGGATGTCATTATTAGTGGATTCTCTATCAATTTCTTCTACTTCGCTATTTGTGATCGACTCATTATCCCTAGAAATCTCCATGTATGTACTCCCTAGATTAGTGTCAAACCCTTGAGAATATGTTCATAAATAAAATACTCTAGAATTCAAGATTCGGCCAAGTTGTCTTTGAAGCTCTAGAAGGTGGTGGCTCCTGAAAATTAAATCGCGGAGAAGATCGTTAAAATATAATTTTACAAGTTGAAGAAGCCTCAACAAGAACTTAGAAAGAGGCATTAAAATTGGAGTTCAATCCTCGTTGGTCCCTGGGAAACTCAAAATATAAGATTATCACTGCCTATAAAATTCTTAAAAAATAAATTGAACATCAAATTCAAGAACAATAAGATTAAAAATGCGAACCTTTACAATTTGGGAAATCCAAGTCCTATTGGAGAGATAGTTTAGCTGAAGAATGTTGTCAGAAATTCTATAAATATCACCATGAGAGTTTTATCCTCGTTAGGAAGTAGGTTTAAGCGATTCATGTATGCATCACCATGGCGGTGTTGTTGCTTAAGATTATCGAGCCGAAGTTGTCTCTCTTAATTGTAATCATGCAGGATAGATAGATTTTTAAGTCAATTGGCGTTGGCTAACAAGGTAATGGAGGGGCGGAAAAAAAGTTGTGTTAGATTTGAGAGGCACGAGAAACAGAATCCACATTACTCGGAGATTGATTTATGACCATTTTCTTTTTGGAATGTATCTACTTTGAAAATATTTTCCTGCAAATGGTGGGCCGGTTATTTATAGATTTTTACTGTAGTTATTTATTTATTTTATCTCCTTTTTAATTTTTTGATGCTTTTATTATTTTTTCTTTGATGTATATTTTTAATTATTTTTATAGTACTTATTGAAAATTTCATAGTTTACGGTGATCTTTATATTAAAAGTCCATGTAAATTATCTTGTCTCTTAAAAATAATGTTTTCATAAGCAAGTTTCCACCAACTAAAAAAATTAACGATGAAAAGTAAACCTTAAGGGGAAAACTCTATCCTCTCTCCTCTCTCCACTTTTCGCTTTTCATCCAATAACCGCATTAATCTCTCACAACTAGTACCTTCCAATTAATCGTAGTGGTGCATATGTGTTGTTTGCTGTTTGAGTGCCTACATTATGGCGTTTTACTTTAATATTTCAAAGCGTATGTTTCAAGATCAATGTTCTTGGATTGGCAGATTCAGAAATCACATTGTTCTACGACTTATGTTAAGGTTCATGATTCGTAGTAGAACAAACACAAATTTACCAGGTCGATAACCAGAATCATATTCACTTAGGATCTCCCACGATCACTTACTCGGATTGTAAGTGACTTGTTCTTTGGACTTTCAGACGAATGTAGTGGTTAAAGTGCTTTCTGGATTGAGGTTTCCCTTGATTTTGAAAAAACAAAAAAAAAGAACAAAAAAACAAAAAGAAAAATCTAAGCCGTCTTTGGAAGGGGGAAGCAGAAGAGGAAAGGTGTTGCATAGACAAGGTCACCTTAGAATTTACTTAGACTTGCTGCGATTAATACTAGCAACGTAATATACCAGCTGTTCGATTCTAGTAGGTTATTCCTATATTGTATCGTGGCATTTCCCCAACCTAGTAGGCTATAGGGACCATACAAATTTCTCACTTGAGGTGTTACGCTATTCAACCAATTGATGATAGATTATGAAGGATGGTAGTGTCCAATCACATCCAGCACATAGTTGGATTTGAAGGCTATATCTTATGAGATAGTAGTTTCATTTTATGCCACAATCAAATTGAAAATAAATTAAAATAAGAAATCAAACACATAAAAGAAGAACTCAAATACTCAATGGTTACAAATTTTAAAGAACCTCTAGGTTTCACAAAGCTACACAACTAACGAACTAACCACTCATGGGGACATGATTTTGGGAGAACATCAGTCAAAGACGAGATTCCCAAATATTCTAGAAATTGTCGTAACGTGAATAAATTGGTGAATGGGAGTCAATTTAGCCACCAATCTACCCTTGAGGTTTTGGGTTGTTTGAGTGTTGAAGAATTGCTAACACATTCAGAAATAGAGGATGATACTAAGTGTCTTCTTTAAAGGCGGCCATCCTTTTCGGAATTTACTCATCTTTTTCCTCCTTGTCTAGGCACATTTGGGATGCCCTGTTATTATAAAAATTTCCTTAAACTCCTCCTTTTTTTTGATTGTTCTAGATATTACTGTGAAGATTCCCTAGAGGATTTTAAGGTTGCACATCAATCAATAATTTAAGTTGACGTTCTATATTTTAGAATCTAGCTTGCAATCCATATCCATAAGCTATGACTTCTATTTTCTCGAATCTAGTAGACTGTGGATCGGAAGGGCTTTCTCTTTGCTGCTTATATTGTGGTTGGTTCCCGAATCTAGGAGGACTGAGAATTTTGCTTCATTGTTGGTCATGAATATAAAGGGCTCTAAAAGATGTGATATTTGGGTAGTATTTTGGCTTCTTTTTTCCAAGGGTTGTCCATTGACCATATGACACTTGGGGTTGATTTTTATTGTAGCTTCAATAAGTTATTGGAACCTCCTTGAGGTTACCAATTTTAGTAACCTTGAGTGATGAAATTGACATGAACATGTTCTTGACCTCCAAGGTTTCAGCAATTTTGATCATCATGACCTTCTTGTCCACAAGTATCACAAACATATAAGGATGTCACTGGTTTATTCTTTGGCATCATTGCAACATTTTTGAGTTGCTAAGAAATATCTTTCATTGGCTTGTGAAGGATGGATTCAACGTCATCACTTGCTTGGGTAGATTTAACTAGTTTAGTGATGAACTTCTTGGACTAGTTCTCTGATTTCCTTCCTAGATTGATGAAATGCTCTTGCCATTGGATTCTAGTAATTTGAGTGAAATCACTAGCATCATATTGATTTACCAGTATTTTAGTATCTCTATCCAATACTTTGGTGAAATACTAGGCTATTTGTTCTGGTGTGAATCCTTGTTGAGGGCATTGCCTTCAAATGTCCTCGAAATCTTCCCCACACATCATAGAATGAGTCTCCATCTTTCTATTAAAATTGTGAGAAGTTTTCTTTAAGTTCTTCTGTTTTCCATGGTGGAAAGAATTCTTCTATGAAACCTTGTGATCAAACTATTGTTTTGCTTTCCCAGTTAGTGAGAAAGGAAAGACTCTTAGTCCAATTGCATTTCGAGTGGCTTTGTTTCCAGGAACCAAATCAATGATCTCTAATAAAATATTCAAATGTTGCACAAGACTATGATCATTCTTTCCAGTGAGTCTTACACCTTGTTGTACTTGTACCATTTCGTAAGTGATGTTTGAATTTCAACATTCGCTGGGGGTGCAACACTACTTGGTGATATTCGAAGCTATTGGCTTTGAATCTTCATAGAGAGTTGGTGGGGAAAAATATTCTATTCTCTCCTTCCACCATAAATGTTGAGCATGATAATGAAGTGGATCCTTCATCTTCTAGATCAAAGTTGTAAACTTTTTCAATTTCCTTCTCCCTTGTTGAAGTATCTTCGACTCTTCACTTGAGCTAGATGCTCTTTATTTTAATCTCAACAAAGGTGTACTAAAATTTTCTCATTTGTCGATGAATTGATTTATGATCGTTTGATTTTTGCTTTATTTTCTAATTTGGAAAGAGCTTATAAAAAATATACAAAACATAATACTTGAACGATAATAAAAGAAACACAAGAATGTTGGTTACTTTCAAATATTATTAAAAATCTCTGGGAATGATGCCAAAAACTTTGATGTGGATTGAAATGTACTATTCTCACAAAGTAATATATCCTATATTTTGTCTAGGGTCGTATTTCATGAGTCTTTAAATATCAACTACTTTGCTACTAATCACTTGTGCTCGAATAAAGATGTAACAACAAGTAAACACAATGGTTGAGGTTCCCTAATGATGGCCGAGTTTTTGTACTTCAAGTAAAGAAACTAAATAAATAATGAAAGTGATTCAATAAAACAAAAATTAAATGAATATGAGAAACTATTTAAGTATCTTCATCTACATGAACATGCATACTAACTCCTTAATGATAATGCATTCATGAATGATGCCCCATCTACTCCACTAATGTATTCCTAATCAAGCTTTTGCTACATGCAAAAGAAATTAAGACTAGCTAATGCGTGCTTTTGCTTCACCCCACTAACCAATCAATGAAGAACAAGTGATCATAGACAACACTTTTCTAATTAAGGCCTGTACGCATAACACTGGTCCTTGGTTTTGATGGCCTATTTCTAGGATGAATTCTCGACAAACCTACATCAACAATCAAGCATATACATAGATGAATAATTGAGTCCAATCAAATCATGCATGCATAAGTAAATAGCAAACCACACAAGTGCAAGTTCCTAGCAACTTATAATGGTATTAAGTGCAAAACAAAGATAACACATAATAAAAGATAACAACATCATACACATATCATTAAATCATCAAAAGTGAAACATGAAACTTCATAGAATTCACATCCTAAATATTAATAATTTTACTAGCCATGAAAGAGAGGTTTAATGTCACCATTGATGATGAAGGCATCTCCATTGAACTCTGGCAGAATGTCGTCTCTCCAATGGATGCTAAAAGAATTAAATGTGGGGGCCTTTCCGTGAGTAAAAGCCCTAACTTTGAAAGAAGTCGTGTGAATCCTTTCTACTTGAGTGTGTAAGACTACTCTCAGATATGTGAAACTTGTAAAGCTTGCTCTAAAACTCTAGCCTAAGCCTCTATTTATAGTACTAACTTAAGTGGTGAAGGCTTGTGGACAAAAGATGTGGTATTGGGGTTTTCCTTCATAATTTTGTCCTGAAACCTTCCTTGTTTGACTTGAACTCGGACTCCTTTACTTGATGATGAAGATAAGAAGCGTATATGATAAAGCACTAGGGGGGTGCTTTTGATCAGAATACGCAGCTCACACACACAATCGAATGATAGATAGGTAGAATTCTCGCCACAATCAAGGTGATTAATCGATTGATAAGAGACTTGCTAAACGATTCTGGAATCCACTCAGAATAGCTTCACAACGGTCTTGTAATTAGCTAAGGAATCCACTCGTAGCTAACGACAATGGGTAAACTCTCGAGACGCAACTCAAGAACTCCAAACACTCGGTTTGTATTCAATTCAATCAACTCTACTTTACAACGTGAATTGGAAAGGTATTTAAACACAATTAACCCTAATACAACCCTACATGAACAAGGAAACTAATTATAACAGGAAAATGCTAAATAATTCGTGTAAAACAAGGTAACTTGCTGGCCAAGAAACGGACTTAAAACGCAAGCAAGTCTGCCTAGGAAAACAGGCTTCATAGCATCTTTGAGCCCTTCGAAAATGGTCTTCTAGGTTGATTCGAACTCAACCAATTCCTTGCATTTATAGAAGAAAACTTCCTCTTTCACCTCCAACTTGAATCAGCCTGAGATCATGCTCCAAACTCCAGATATAGGCCTTCAAAGTTGGTATCTCAATACAGTTTTCTGCCTTGGCCAAATTTAAGCAGTTTTTCTGTTTTGAGGTAGCCTTTTGATGGGCTTTGAAAGTGACCTTCCAGACATCTCCTTGATCTCCAAAACATACCAATGTAAACATAATAACATTAATTGCAAAACAAGCTCTTGATCTCCCATTTTGATTGAGCCATGTGTGAGATACAAACTTACAAAGTAGGCTGTCTGAAACTATTGCAACACTTGGCCAAAAATCAGAATTCTTCATGTGAGGTGAGATAGCTTCTTTGACAAGTAATTTTGAATTGTGGATTGATCCAATTGAGATCATATCAGTATAGAGAAATGGTGGTGGGAT